TAAACAATTATTTCAGAGTTTGCTTTTAATTTTACATGAGTAGTTTAATGTGATCACGTAGTATTTCTGTCTCCCTACTTAATGTTATAAATGAGAAAGTAACTCTGTCTGTTACGTTTTTACGGCTAAACCGCTAAACCGATTTTAATAAAATTTGGCATAGAAATACTTACATAGAAATACATACATGATTTTGAGGAAGGACATTTTGGCATTTTGGCATAGACATACATACATGATTCTTGAGGAAGGTCATAGGACTGTTTAAATGCAAATTACTTTTTAAATTAGGAAACAATAACAGTTGCCAAATAAGTTTTCGATTTCATTTGATATAACTTTTGCTTGTGTGGTAACCCTGACGTAAACTCAATAATAGCTTTAGTTTGGCTAATTACTGAAGTTGGGGCTGACGCTCCAAAGAAATCATCTGACGCTCAGAAGCGTCCAACCAGATCGTATTATTTTTATGACAAGCTTTTTATATCTCTTGTAATTATCATCTTTATAATGCTTTTGGGTGATAATGCTTTGGGTTTTAGCTCATTCCGGATTTCAGAAATCTTAATTTTTAGGGACTTACGAATTTGAATAAACTTATATAATAATAATTGAATTGTAATAACATGACATTGAATAAACTTATATGAGTGTCGTTCACCCCTATTCATCCCGTGGGTGTCGTAAGAGCCGACCAAGGGAAAAAGCTACGCAGGACACAAATCCTATACCAACCCGTCTGGCCAGCGTGGTATTGTAGGCCAAAACCTCCTTTCTAAGGAGAGGCTTATGTCTAGCAGTGGACTGTTAAAGGCTGTTGACGTGAGTGTCGTTTTTCTGTTTTTTGTTATGTTTTATGTTGTGACGTTAGTGTCAAAACACACGGGATATAAAAACATAGAGGAATCTAAGATTCCTTTAGTTCCCTTTCGCTAAACTATACGTTACATAGGACTATACGTTAAACATCTTTTGGTGTGCCAGCAAAGTTTTATGGTTTTGAAAATGATTGCCAGCTTCTTTAGTTGTTCTTTAGTTTATGTGTAGTGATGTCTGTAGTAATCAATGCTCAGAATGATAATCATTACTGTAGTAAAATTCGTGAAAAGTTACAAGAATCAAACAACTCCGGTTGTGTCAATTCTAGTAAAAACAATAATATAGCGCTGTCGTTTTGGGCTAGTTGTTCTGTCATGCCCATGCATGTTAAATGCAATTTTTGCTAATTCAAGGTTTAGTGCTATCTGCCTAATAAAATCCAAGCATGGGGTTTTATTTCTTTGTTTTATTAATCTATACACTCCTATGGTATATCTGGCTGGTGCCCGCGACTTCGTTCGCATGGAATTTGAAAATCGCTGCCTCTGGGGTCACCAGACTGGGCAAAATGTTATAGGGTTTTTCTGAGAGAAAAAAATAGCCTAAGTTACTCCTTATATAGACTACAGCTAACTGGTAGTAAAATATTATCTAAATCGGTCAAGTCGTTTTAAAGATTACCGGGAACAAACAGACAGACAGACGAAAAAAGTTTAAATTGGTTTTAGGCGTAGGTATCGTACAAATAACCGTGAGAGCATCAAAAAACCCCGTTATTTTGACATTACAAACAGAAGCTTCTTTATTTGTATTGATATCATTATCAATGTTCGTAAAACTCTTTACAAAATATCAAAGGTTTTTGGACGTAGAAATTTCAAGTTTTATTTATCTGATCTTTAAATAAGTTTGCTTGTTTTTTAAGAGTTCTTTTTAAGATTTCCCTGTATTATACAGGGTAATCTTACAGGCTACAGAGAAATAAAGCCATTCATTGCATGTACATAAATAGTAAATAATATTTAAATAACATTTTCGGACACACAACACCATCTAGTTTCAAACTTAGCAGAGCTTGTAATATGAAAGTTAGATTGAGTAACAGAATAGTATTTAATAACAGAATATTTTACATAGAAAACACCCAAACTCTGAAACAAATATTTGCAGATCATGCAAATATTTGGTTCGACCTGGCAATCGAAACCGTCACCTCATTGCATACGCTACTACCGCACCACTGAGGCAGTCAAATCATAAATGAGTTAAAATTTTCATACAATTATTAATTTAAGAATTAAAATAAACAAATAGGTATTATAAACAAATAATTTAGAATTGCCTACTTATATTTATTACTCTATTTTAGCTTACGGCATCAGTTTTTCGAATTCCATGAAGCAATTTAATTCAATATGCAAAATCGATTATTCTGTTCAAAACCCTTTTCTGATTACAAGTTATTGAAATTTTAAGCGCATTGTAAATGAATGACTTCTGTTTAATCAAAAACAGAAGTCATTCATTTCAATGATTTTACATGATCAAAGAACTTAGGTTTAACGAAGAAACAAATTAAGTCAATTATTTTAACTTCAAATTATTTAAATATAAAACTTTAATTAAATTACCTGAAATTACTTAATTTAGTAATAGAAAAAAATTGTTCCCTCTATTTCAGAATTTGACCTGTTTGTCTTGTTTTCTACATCTACATATAATTTTTCAAATATTTGTAGTAGTTTCAGACATTACTCTTCAAATGCCAAGTAATGCATTATAAAATCACATAAATAAAATCAGAATGTTTTTCTAAAATTTTTAAGTGCATTTATTTTCAACTACACATGGACCAGTTGATTATTTACACTATGTAACAAAATTATGATTGATGATACATATTAAAAAAAAATATAGTTCTAGAAGTTTTTTTTTATCATAGTGTCGTTGATTGTTACGCGCAATGCAATTGTGCTTTGAAAAAGGTTTCGTATAGATTAGCCACCGTTGTAGTACAAGTACAAAGCCCGTACACTGCATTGTTAACTGTACTGCACCCATTTAGGTACATCAGTATGTGTAAATAGTTTTATAAGTAACTCGAGAAAGATAGAAACTCTTACAAGGTGTTTAGGTACATAACAGACTGCCTCGGTAGTGTAATGGTAGCGTAGGCGACTGATGCACTGAGGCCTCAAGTTTCATTCCCGGGTCGGACCAAATTTTTGTATGACTTGCAAATATTTGTTTCGGAGTTTGGTTGTTTTCTATGTATAATATGTATTTATTTACAAAAAAAAATACCTATATAAGTATTCTATCAGTCAATATAGCTTTCATAATACAGGCTCTGCTTAGTTTGAAACTAGATGGCGTTGTGCGTCAGAGCGCCATAAATATTATAATATTATGAATGTGCTAACAATTTTAGGCAAATTAATGAGTTTTAGTCAAGTAATTGAGTTTAAAACGGTTCGCAATCGGGTTATATTTTTTATATTTGTTTGCGAAACTTATTTATTTATTTTATTTCATTCTTTTTGCACAAATAACAATTGATTGTATAATGGCGGACTCAACGCCACTGCCACTTAATGCCAGTCTACCTTTAGGTGGTGGGGAAATGTCTGAGCAGGTTCACTAGAAATTAAGTTTTTTGTGTTAACGAGATAATAATAATTAATGATATGGACAGAAACAGTGTGACAGATATACATACAGAGATACACATACATGTATACTTGCTGAGTTACATACATACATATATAAACACGAGAAATTAAACTTTAGGGATGTGATGAATCTACAAGAGTGTCGAGAATTCAAACTTTAATCTACCGATTTCGAATTATTTTATTATTTTGTAGGGTTTCCATCTGGTCCCAATTAAATTTTATTTAATAATACCACCTCTATCAATTAAAAATTCAGGAATACAGAATAGTTTATCGGAATTTAATTTAATACAATGCATGATGTCGGTGTTAATCTTTGAAAATTTAATTTATACAAAAGTCATATTTGAAGGTGAGTAATTGAATTTAAATTGACTGATAAAATTACTAGATAGGTTAATGTGGGTTAATGTAATGGTTAATATTTGTAGAGGAGTGATTTGAATACAACTATAAGTATTTAACACGAAAGATGTTGATCAAATGTCATAATTGTGTTCATTAATACACAATATGTACATATAAGACTTTATAACACCTTAAATAACATAATGAATCCTCACTCATTAAATGAAATTTTCAAACTCATAAATCAGATCTTATTCCCAAAAAATGAGTTATCGTTATTAAAGGAACAATTTTCTTTTCGACGCCCACTGTGACTTTGCGTGAGGACGAAGCTAAAATCTTTTTAAGAATTACAATTAAAATAAATTATCGCATCTCAAGACAGGGCTGGAAACAAAAGCGAATGGATGATTTTATTTTTCTTCGGCCATTTAATGAAATTTCGCCGTAAATAGAAGAAGTTTTTGAAGTAGGTACAAAAGTAATATGCGTTAGGATTTCCTACAAAAAGTTAAATAGCGTATTAGGAATTCAATTTGTTTAATACCCTCTTAACTTTAGGCCTCTTGCAACTCAGGAATTAAACTTTGATCTTTTCATAATTTGTGTGTGAATAATAGTAATAATATTTCAGACATCTGACACACAACGCCATGTAGTTTCAAACTAAGTAGAGCTTTTACTAAGAAAGCTAGATTGACTGATAGCATACTTATATTCTAATTTTTTTGTGAATAGATACATAATATACATAGAAAACACCCAAACTTCGAAACAATTTGGTCTGATATGGGAATCCAAGTCCGACCTGGGGACCGGTGGTTGTATAGTTATGTTCGACTGTGTTTATGAATATTTTATTAGTATAAAATTTACTGTAGTGGAAGCAAGAAGTATGAAAGTCACTGGAATTTTTCTTCAAATGAATTTTGTTTTTGTACCATTTTTTTAGTTATAATTTCAAAATAGTTTTCTTTCAGATTTAAATAAATGCAAATATTTATTAACAAATATACAACATATCAAATTAAACACAATCTGAGTTCCGTGCAAAATTTAAAGTCAATTATGTACCTATAAATGAAGTGTACGAATGAAACATATTGATAAAATAAGTTGAGGCAACTTATTAAATAAGTGTAATGTGAAAAGCGACAGATGCCAGCAGAAAGGGACCTCTACGATAACAATGAAAGCAAAAAGGTGGGGGGTGAAAAAAAGACAGAACCATCATTACAAGTGCAAGAGCTAAAAGGAATAAAAAAACAAAAAAGTGCAATTTTTGAAAGTTCAATAATTGGTAATTTGAAAGCACCCACTTCACGTATTCTAAATTTAAATCCAGTTTCAAATTCAAATGCTAAAACTAAACTTGCGAAATTTGGTGCATCCCACTCATACTCTTGGAGTAGTTTTGCAATTTTAAGTGAAGTTGCTGAAGTGAGTTGTCTTTTTGGGGCGAAGTTAGGGTCGATGTTTCGAGGAGGACTGAATTGCAACGGAATATGGTCCGTGGTGGGTGTGGTGGTACTACTGGTGGCGTGGGTGGGAGGCAGCGAGTTTCCGGAGAGAGAATGCTGCGATCCTGTCTACCCACCGAATACGGCGACGACGGCGGCTGCTCCGGTCACCCCTCCAATAACCAAGCTTGCAGGTATGTTTTTTTAATGAATTTGCATTTTATACTTAACATGTTCCAAAGTAATAAGGTTTAGAAATGATATTTTTAATATATTTAAAGCAATTATAACCGCTGAAAGCTATGTAAAAATGGGGTTGGTTTATTTGGTTTAAGTGCAGAGTAATTTAAAATAATATTTTTTATATGAGTTTGAAAAGTATAATAGTTTTCCATGCAAATAAAAAAATAACAGTAACACCTAATAATCGATAACATTGCTCGATAATATTATACATTATATGTGATTCTACAAAGAACCAGAGTTTTAACACTATATTAGCAACCCAATCCGGCTTCGCACCGGTATAAGTACATCATATGTATTTTAGATACAAACTTTAAAAGTATAATGTTAAACCTTTCGTATGCACATAAGCGGTGTTAACTTACTTGTCAGTGACTTACTTGCAAAATATTGTTTTATGAACTTGAACCTTCTTAGAAGAATTATCTATCTGATAGCGTTGCATCGTTTCGGAAGACTTTGCGGATATACGGAAAGACGCAAGGCGAGTTCTTTCACAATATGTAAAGATGTAATGTGGAATTCTTATAGGTTATTAAGAGAAGGCCGGACCTAGCGTAGAGGTTATTGGCTGAAGTTAAACTTTATCTAACAAACTATTTTAATGACCTATCTATGCCGAAGCTTGACTCTCCCTTAGTTAGGGTACATAATATAATAAAATACATTTATTAATTGTTGGTGATATGTAATGATCATGAACATTACTACTTTTCAATTAATAATCCTAGAGTTTTGCTTATCGTCCATGATCTCTCATCTAGCATTGGAAACATGAGAATTGACGAATGCATTTGACTGTTATTAACTGTGTAGACAAATATATCTAGTATGAAACATCTTAAATAAAATAATTAGTTAAGACATTCTGTTGATATGATAAAGTGGAAGTGGAAGTGGAGTGCCGCTCTGATTTGACCCATTTATGAATCTTCTTGGCTTGACTAAGAATAAAAATATGAAGTATTTAATTGTTTGAATATAAAAAAAAAATTTGGTCAGTAAGAATAACATCTGACTAATGTTTGACTCAAAAGATCGTGAGATACTTTCTCTGTTTCTTAATACGAGGCATGCCTTTTAAGTTTTATCGTTTGAAGAAAAAAACACAACTAGAACCTTATAATACTTTTTATTGTTTTTCAAAGTATTCACCACGTAGCTTAATACACTTTTCCATTCGCTCAAACCAGTTATTATAACATTTATTCCACTCTAAAGTGGGGGTGTTGAAAATGGCTGACTTGAAAGCGTCAACTGCTTCTTAACCGGACTGGAACCTTTGACCACGAAGACTTTTCTTAATTTTAGGTAATGTAAAAAAATCGTTAGGGCTTAGATCAGCACTGTATGGAGGATGGTCAAGAATTTCTACTTTTTCCTGCTTCAAATACTCAATCGTTTGACGAGCGCTGTGTGAGCTTGCGTTGTCGTGGTGCAGGATTATGCGTCGCTTTGAGTTAGATTTTCGAAGTTCGGCGATGACTTGTGATAAACAAACTGTGGTATACCACTCTGCGTTAACCGTTCTACGATCTTCAAGTGCAATAGTCGCAACATGGCCGGTTTTTCCAACGAACGTGGCCACCATCTTCTTTGAAGTACTTCGAGAACGAACAACTTTAGTCGGCTTTGGCTCGTCTTGAAAGACCTAGATTGTAGATTGTTGTTTGGAATCAGGATCGTAAGCATAGATCCAAGATTCACCACTGATGATGTCGTAGACGTGATTTGACTCTCCTCGGTTGAACCTTTACAGAGTTTTCTTACACCATCTGACGCGGGCCTTCTTGTGATCGTCGGAAAGCAGATGCGGTATCCAACGGCAAACTAGTTTTCTCACATCAAGCGCTTCATGCAAGATCTTCTGAATGGTTGTCCCTAAAATGCCTAATAGAGCCTCTATCTCTCGATATGTCACATGACGATTTTCGAGAATTAGGTGTCTCATAGCAATGATGTTATCTTCAGTGAACGCGCATTTTGGGCGTACTTCGCGAGATTTGTCACTAACACTAGTATGTCCACGCTGGAATTCTAAATACCAGCGTTCGAAAGTCCGCAGACATGGGGCTACATCACTGAACGCAGATGTTAGCTCTTCAAAACACTGAAGCCGTGTCAGGCCTCTTCTAAAGTTGTAGAAAATTATTGCACGAACATTTTCCGTAGAAAGATTCATTTTCGTACGTAACCTGACAGATTCCAATCGACGCTGTGACTAAACAATAGCATTAATCCTTTTTTTTTTCGTGCGGAAATCCCCTCGGATACCACCTATCGGTGGCATGTCGGACTCGAACCGACTAAACCGCACGCCGTCTCGGGTACTAATAGCCGGGGAACCAGGTATACCCTAGAAAGGAAGTCCCAGGTGCCCCGACAATAGCATTAATCCTAATACTTTCAACTGTTTTGAGATTCAAAATTTAAACACATTCGAATATAGAACAGTTCCAAATTCAAAATTGCCGGGAAATATGGAAACGACAGAACTTAAAAGGCATGCCTAGTATGTTTTAAACATATAAACATATATGAAATGAAATCACCTTTTTTGTTAAATCACCTTTCACATCACCTTTCACACACATCACCTTTTTTGGTAAATTAAATTATTACGTATTTAGCGAATGCAAACTCATTTAAATTTCTTTTAAATTCCCAACTCCTTCGCAATTCTCAAAGTAAAACTATTTTCACACGAATATATAGTAGATACTTGTACATAAACATAGAACGACGAACCACGAACCCACGAACTCACTCCAAATTTGATATTCTACATTTTATGTGAACAATTTCTCGTCTCTTGTTTCCTTTCTGCTTTTCAAAAGTCTTTTCTAGAGAAAAGAAAATTCATTTGCCATTACTGTGTTGGCGAAAAGTGAACAATAGAACTGTTTTCTTTTATAAATGTTTAATTAACCGAGTGTAATATAAATAGGCTATTTATTGATGTTTGGGTTAAAGGTTTAATCGTCTTATAAGTAAGAAAAATTACGGAACACCGCCGTACTACTTACGCCCGTCTAATTTGAGCCTGCGTGGGTTTTGTTCCGATATTGTGCGTGGCGTGTAAAACCGCGGATACATATTAATTGATAAGATTTTGAAGTAAAGAAAGAATACCAAGGTTTTACTTACTTTTCACATGAAGTAAGTTTAAACTAAATGTGAACTACCAAACCAACCACCTATATTTTCTAGTCTATCGATTTTAACTAGGTTATATACTTTAATAAAAAATGTTTTTGCATAGTAAAAACTACATTTTTTTTAAAGTTTAGCTACTTTTTATTAACTAAAGTAAAATATAAGCAACTCAACTTTTATATACTTTGAGAGACCCGACATTTTGAGTGATTGATAGATTTTGCCTCAAACAGTAAATTCGTAAATTTACGCGCATCGATCAATCATTATCCCATGTTCAAATAAAAAAATAAACAGAACCCCGATAACAGAGGCCTTTTATCGTTTCTGACTCAAAGATTTGCTATGTAATTATCCATCTTAAGGAATGTACAAAATGCTTTGCAGATACCAGATTTTGATCATATAGGTACGGTTTAGTTATCCAACATAGCATGGATGCAAATGCGTGTATGCGATAAGACTCCGTGCTGTTCCTAATACTGTTTTGTTTATTGCATCTCTATGTTTTACTGTTCGTTAATTATATTATAATCAAAGCAGGTGAAAGTACTGAGAATACTTTTACTTACTATTTAAATTGTCTATCTGGATACTGACCGAGACGGATTAAAAATACGGAGTGTCACTACTCCTATTCATCCCGTGGGTGTCGAAAGAGTCGACTAAGGGAGCAAACTAGGCAGGACAACAACACTACAAAGAAAAAGAAAACTTGAAACAAACCCTATTCCAAATCCGTCTGGCCAGCGTGGTATAGTTTGCCAAAACCTGGTTTCTAAGGAGAGGCCTATGTCCAGCAGTGGACTATTAAAGACGTTGATGATAATATTGATAGATATACATTAGTTAACATTTAAAAACTCTGTATTTTTTAAGACGCCGGCTAGGTTATGAAATAAAAATGGCCACACCCCAAGATTCGTGTGATGTTGAAATATATTATATGCTATGCAGAATGATGAGTTTGTTTGTGTGATGCAGGATCAGAAGTTACTACCAAACTCAGCTTATCTTTGATGATGATGCTGGTGTAAAATAATAAAATTTACGTAGTATTTACGCCATTACGTAGTACGTACGTAGCAACGAGTATTTACGCCATTTTCGTGGCCATAAATGGTAATAAGGAAACAACAAAATGTAGCAAAGTTTCCTACTGTAGGTGGCGTCAACTCAAACTCACTATTATGTAACGCTACTACAATGCATTTGTTTGTACACTTCAACAGAATTGTATATTGTTCTTAGGTTTCATGGGCCCGCATATGCTTGTGTGTGTACAACAAACTGAATTATAAATTTATTTTGTAAAACTAAATCCACTGTACGGCAAATTCTATTCACGGGTTTGGGTGGTTTGTGGTTTCTATTTTTTTAAAAGAGTAACTTGCCAAAGAAATACCGGCATAATGTAGAACGCAGTTACCGAGGCATGCTTGTATGTGTGTATTTAGAAATGTATAAGTATGATTATTATCTGTCAGTCTGATTAGTGATTACCATAGTACAGGCTCTGCCTAATTTGGGTGCAGACAGTTGTGTGTGAGATTATTATGTAAGCACGAAAAATAAATGGTGTAATTTATGACAACCATATCCTTGGATTCTTTTATTCTTGTAATAAGTAGTAAAGGAAAACCCGACCTTGCTAGTGTTGATGAGAAAGAAAATTTTGAGAGCTCCAATTTGTGCATACATCTGCCGTACCTACTTTTACCATAGAGAACACAATTTTATAGTTGGCTTCCATCATATTTACAATGGTATTTCAATTCTACAGTTGTAAAGCAAAAAGAAGTTATG